ACTGTATACTCCCCGGTCAGCTCTGCCGCTGCCTTATGCATGGCTTTATACTGTACATACCATGCGTCAGCTCGCTTTTATTCACATAAATAAAACACACAGAAAGTTATACTGAGGAGAAAATAGAAATATACACTTGTGTTTTCATTCTTTTATGTTCTGTGTGTGTATTTGACATCATCTCTGTCAGTGCTGTGACATAATCGGGGTCACAGATAGATTTGAACTCATCATAGAAAGATGTATGATATGATAATATAGTGTGTTAAATAAATGCCTGGTTTATTTAATAGGCTGATACATCACACTCACAGGGAAACACAGTGACATCATTCACACTGAGGTTGTTCACTGTCTCCACGTTCATGAGGAAGAAGACAAACAAAAGCAGAGTAAAGATGTGTAACTGCAGTTTGTTGGTGGGTGGATGTGCTCATGTTGGATGAAGGGATGATGAAGGGATGGATGGATGGATGATGAAGGGATGGATGGATGATGAAGGGATGGATGGATGGATGATGAAGGGATGGATGGATGAACAGCTTACCTCCAGAATATATTTCTTAATTTGTTTTAAGCTTCTTTATTTTTGTGTCTCCTCTCGTTTATTAATGATTTCCTGGATTTGTCACCGTCTGTAAATGAAGACTGATGAAAGAAGAAAGAAAATATAAATGTGAAATTTCTGCTTCAAAGTTTTGATGTTTACAAAATTAATTTTACATTTTTTAAAGAACATTTTAACTGTATAAATATGGATGGATGGATGGATGGATGGATGGATGGATGGGTAAACAGAGAAATAGATGGATGGCCGGGTGGACAAATGGAGGGAGGATGATAATGGGTGGATGGATGATGGATGGATGGAGGGATGGACAGACGGACAGATAGATGGATGGATGAATGGCGTAATGAAGGGATAGATGAAGGGAAGGGGTGGAGAGCTGGATTTATGATGGATGAAGAGATGGGTGGGTGGACTGATGAAATGATATATGGATGGAGGGATGATAGATAGATAGATAGATAGATAGATGAGGGATGGATGGATGGATGGATGGATGGACAGATGGATGGACAGATGGATGATGGATGGATGGATGATGGGTGAATGAACAAAGAGATTGATGGATGGATGGACGGAGGGACGGTTGGATGGATGGATGGGTAAATGGAGAAATAGATGGATGATCAAAAGATGATGGATGGATGGACAGACGGACAGATATTTGGATGGATGAATGGCGTAATGAAGGGATAGATGAAGGGAAGGGATGGAGAGCTGGATTTATGATGGATGAAGAGATGGGTGGGTGGACTGATGAAACGATATATGGATGGAGGGATGAATGATGGATGGAGGGAGCCATGGGTTAGTGGATGGATGGTGGGTGGATGAAGAGATAGATGGATGGAGGGGTGATGGATGGATGGATGGATAGATGGATGGATGGACAGACGGACAGATGGATGAGGGGATGGATGGAGGATTGATGGGTGAATGAACAAAGAGATGGACGGATGGATGGACGGATGGATGGATGGATGGATGAGGGGATGGATGGAGGATTGATGGGTGAATGAACAAAGAGATGGATGGATGGATGGATGGATGGATGGATAATTCCCTTCATTATGAAGCCTGACATATGAGCAGAAACACTATTAAAACACATTCATACAGAAACACAACCTTTATGTGAACATGTGATAATGTGAACTTTATAAATGCAGATGAACCCATGAACACATGTAGGTCATGTAACATGTGAGAGGTTCATCATGTAAAGAAATGCTCACAACAAACTGTGCAGGAGAAAAAAAAATCCATTTATCTGTGCTGATTTTTATCATTTCTTTTATTTCAGCTCAGTTTGTGATTAGATTTGTTTTTAAAAACAAGGACCAGATTCTTTATTGTTCTCGTCTGCAGCTCATCAGATCTAATGGAAGCCAACAGGCCGATAAGACTGCACTGCTGTGGGGGGAATGATTCCACATCCTGTACGTCCCTCGCCTCCTCTCTGCCTGTTAGTATTCTCACTCTGAGGCCTGCACAGACTGAGATGGTGGTTGGACCCCAGGAGACCCTGCAGATGGGACAGCTTGTGCCATACTGTGGGTCGACACATCCAGACGGTAAAATGTCACAAAAATGTCAGGGGAAACCCAGTTGGCTTCATAGCAGATACACTTCAGTGATACACCATTGAACAGCACCAAAGAAAAGGCCAAACTCCCCTACACTCAAGTGCTGTCACAGACTGCATATTGGCGCAGGCGCCGTGACTCACACTGGTTCAATATTTTATTTGCCTGTTTTCCAGCTCAGGACGGTAACGAGCCGAGCTGTGTATTTAACAGACAGCAGTGTACATTTTAACAGGGAAACGAAGGCCTAAATATTTAGAAATGAACAGTGGCGCTGACCTGCTGCGTGGCTTTAAAGGCGTGTTAAATAATCTATGACCTTTATGGGACTGGGAGGAATTGCAACCAATTTGGCAGAACGTATCTCCTCCTCCAAGTCTCTGGCACAGGACCAACCTCCACCCCTCCGCTTCCCCCCCGAGCGAAGGCAGCCTGCAACTGACACAAAATGCAAAACTGTGTTTTCAAAAAGGGGACAAGTCGCTCTCTGATGATCATGTGTCTTTTGAAGAGTCGAGCTAAATACCGGGACAGTGACAATCACGCTTGTGAAGCTGTTTCTTGTTTAGCAGCTAACGGGCCGCGTCCCTAATCCACTGACGAGGAATTCTAAACACTACATCGCCTACTGATCATCGTAGTGTCGTCATGATCCTGGGGTTTGCATTGTTGTGCTCATTGTGTTAGGAAGGAAAGGAGGAAGGGAGGAAGGAAGGAAAGGAAGAAAGCTCTGTTTGCATTTTCTTAGAAGAAATGTCCTGTTTTCTTTTACTTGCAGCGTGGCCCTCATGTTCACTGTGCTAGCTACAGGACTGATTTATGCCACAGACGACTATGTTTTCCATGTTAAAATGACAGACATAAACACTGTTGGATGCACTTAGACATTTTGAGGTTCGGATCTTTGCTGGGAGGAATTTGTAGTAACTGGACCAATTTGAATTTTAAAAGAATCCCCCAGTTTTAGTGCGAGAAGTGTGACTGCCGAAGCATTGGGATATGATCTCCTGGGTCACAGTCCTGTGCTTGTTGAACACACCCGTCCTAAGTGGACTCTTGTGCTCTTTATCCTACGTTAGTTGCTCTAAATGACTAATATGGATCAGGATGGGTTTACATAGACGTTAAAAGCCTGGTGTCTCTCATAGAGATGCTAAAGGGTGCAGCTGGTCTCATAGTTGTGGTGCTAAAGTGGTGAACTTTGGCGCCCTGGGCGTGAGACCAGGCTGGACCTTGGTAAACTTGAGGCCCTGACACACCAAGCTGTCAGTCGGCTGTCAGTTGGACTTGGTGAGCATCTGTTGCCCCAGTAGGTCACAATTTTTTTTTTTCACCACTGGCGCCACACCAAGCTGCTTGTCCATGTCATGCTCCATTTCACAAGACCCCAATACCTGAACACTTTTGCTCGGGGCAGTAAAGGGCAATACACATGCCGCGTATTATGCGCCCTCAAATTCATTGTTTTCAAGGTAGACACGCAGCAGGTGTGTTTAAATGCCAGAGCGACACTGTTGCAGCACACATGTTCCCAAGCGCCTACTTTTCAAGCACCCTGAAATAAACTTGTTCAACTTGTATCATATCTCTAGGGTCTGGTGACTTTCCCTCTAAATCTGGCAGAACCTCAGAAGCAGTGACGAGTCTTGAGTCTCCCTCGCTAGTTCAGTCATGGATTCAAAATCCAAATCAGGAAACGTCTCGGAGGAAATTGTGTTGTAGTGCGTGGACAGATTTGTTTGCTTTCACCGCCAATGCTGCAAAGTTAAAGAACCAAGTAATCATTACTAGCCAACATCATCCTCACTGCGACCTCGTCACATGTCCACGTTTGGTCATGGACTTTCCACGTCCACATATGACGTCCAAGGTACCCTGGGTGTGTTGGTTGTTGACGTTCTGGGACGCCGTGTCAACTTCAGCCTGTTACATGCATTGTCTGTTTTCAAAATACACTTCTGTTTTCACAGGAAATGTGCAGTTTGCATACAGTCTCTTTCAAAATAAAAGCACTACGTCGGTACAACACTGCTAATTGTCATGTTTTTATTCAACAACAAAAGCATGTGGTTGGGTTTAGGAGAAAAGAACAGGGTTTGGCTTTAGAGTCTTACAGGAAGTGAACACGGCTTTTTTTGTCCACGTCTAACGTCAGAAGTCACTGACCAAGCGCTGGTTTTCGACGACTTCAGAGTGACACTGTGTTGTAATAGCCCACTGTAGAGTCGCCACCTTGTGGTAAAACATATTGATGAATGCTCATTTAGACCTTTTAATAATGCTGACAGGTTAATTTGGTCTTAATCGGCTGTTACCGTCATTATAAGGCTCAAATCTGTGGCTCCAGTATCAGTCTCGACCAAAGGGGTGGGGCCGACTGACCAGCTGTCCCTTCATTTGAATTCAAAGGTTCAGTCTGAAAACTGACTGTTAAAACCAGACAAATGTGAGCAGCTGGTGAAGTAATCACAGTCACCATTAATATTCATAACTGCAGTTAAATTATGGTCATTTTGTGCTTTGGGGCGCACACTTGATGCTTATTTTATTTCACTGTAACATTTCAGAACACAGCGTTCAACTACAGTGTGTATTTCCTGTCTTATAAACTAATGTATTTAGATCAGGATGTAGCTAAGTGTGCAGAACATCTCCTCCTGTATGGATTGGACCGTTAACGCCGCCACGCAGGACATTAACGAGTACAATAATGATCAGTAAATGTTTGAAGCTGGTCGAACAGCAAACACACACATCTGCCCTATAGGCTTGATTTCCATTTAAACAGTGCAGATTAGGATATGATACCTCTGTGTGCTGTGAGTGTGCAGCGTTAGGAGCTCGTCCCAGAGGTGTTTGTTGATTAGCATGTGAGCCAACTGGATTCTCCCTCATTATCTAACAAGCTAATTACAAGCTAATTATTTCAAGGGAGCGAGGTTAGCCCATCAACTTTGCAAAGTTGTGAAATTGATAGAGACAATGCAGCAGTGAGGGCAATCATTATAATTGACGGCGTACCTGCTTGTGTAGTTGAGAAAGAAATCAAGTTGCACCTCCGGAAAAAAAGTGGTACATCTTTAATTAGAAAACAATCCATGCTGCAAAGAAAGTGAGAGCTGATCTAATAGAAAATCAGTTAACAAAGCTGTCTGCGCAGCGAGAGGCAGACGCAGTGTTTCACTCACTGGCTGTATTTTTAGACAAAAGATCACAGATGGTTATAAAGGGCCCACTCAGCACATGCATGCACACTGGGGATGAACATACATATGGCACACACAAACAACACATCTATCACATGTATAGAAATTATGTGAAATGAGCAGCTCCATACGCTGAGGAAGGCTATGAGATGAAGTCACCGCATCACCGTACTGATGTTGTACAGAGTCGTATTTATGTTTATTTCCTTGTGCAACAGAAACACGTTGTTAGGTTTGGAAAAAAAAACATCATGGTTCGGCTCAACATTCACACAGGAAGCAAACAGCAGGCTCCTGGCTCAAAGTCCGGTGTGTGTTCGACTCGTCCACTGCCCTTCCTTATCACCCTGTAGGGACTTTCAAGCTGAACTGGACACGTCGCGCTGCAGATTGTCAACAGACGACCACACAAATGTATTACTACTTTCACCTTCTCCACCTCTGCGTTAGCTTAAAATCATGTGTGGACAGCTGCTAATTAAACTTGATGTCTCACCTGAAGAGCTGTGACTCACCAGGGATTATCTTTTGGGCCACTGTCTATAATATCGGCATTGTGGGTCGTTTAGCTCGGGATATTTCTCGACCTCAACAAGGAGTCTCATCTCATATATTCTTTGTCTCACACGAGACACAGCAACAGATACTGAGTTCTCTTTATACATCAGTAGTGAGGAGTCGAGCTGCCAGAGGAGCAGAGAAAAGGAGCTGCTGTGGGAGCTGGTGTGTACAAGCAGGGTTCGAGTGAGGGAAAAATGCATTTAATTTTGGGGCCAGTGAGGCTGGAAATAGGACAGTGGCGTCAAGTGGCGTGGGGCAGCGAGTCCAGGAACGCTGACGTGGATCTAGCCACTGCCGATGTGGGGTTGTGCATTTACATTTTTTGACACGTGGCGTTATAACGTAGTGGCGTTATGCACTGATGCTGCCCGGTGATGTATCATACCACTGTGAAAGGGTGCCTTTTTGTGCTGATGTCAAAATAACTGACCACTCCCCCTAAAGCGGCGGTATGTGACGACTTTGAGAACGGGTGGTAACTTCGCCCTGGTTCCCTCGTTTATGATACTTACTCTAAAAAGCCACTGAACACATCCTGCTAAGCAGACAGACACAGTTAGCCAAACACAGTGGAACATCTCGCAGATAAAGAGCCAGATATTTCCCTCAGGATTTGGTGGAGACCAAAACAGAGCTCGAAGGAGAGTGACTACAGAGCTTGCACGTGTAAATAAGCGACTGTTTGCTAACAGGTTGACTTCAGTAACTTAAAGGGTGATGATATGTGATGTGTGTGTTTTCCAAGTGGACCAGAAGAAATAGTTGATGCAGCTTTAACGTTTGTAGCTCTGTAGTTGCTGGTAGAAGCCGGGGTTGGGGCGAATGGAGGGCCTCGCCAGCTTCACCTGGCCGTACGCGTCATCAAACGACAGCCCCTCCCTCAACATCAGGTAGCCAATGGCGATGGAGGAGGAGCGCGATACCCCCGCGTTACAGTGGACCAGCACCACACCTTCCTGTGGACACAGAAAGTGAAAGTGACATAGAAAAGTAATTACAGTCTGCACATGTTCAAGTGATCACGTTCGGAAAAACACAGTGTTGCAATATAACAATATGATTAGTAATGAATGTATCATAGCAGCTAATTCACAGGTTTATCCATTTACCACACAGGTGTTTCTGTATTTAATTACACAAACACATTTTTCTACTTTCACCCAGTAGTACGGTTTTATTTGCCGCTGAGCTTTAGACGTATCCATCTTCGATATCTGCTGCCATCCTGATTACACTATTGGAATTTGATTTCTATCCATCTGTTTATCTGAGGCCAGGTCACAGGGGCAGCAGGTTGAGCAAAGTACTCCAGACATCCCTCTCCCCAGCAATGTTTTCCAGCTCCTTCTGGGGGACCCCGAGGCATTTCAAGGCCAGATGAGATATATAATCTCTCCAGTGTGTTCTGGGTCTGCCCCGGGGCCTCCTATCAGTGGGACATGCCCGGAAAACCTTGGCTCTACTCCAAGCTCTCTCCGGATATCTGAGCTCCTCACCCTCTCTCTAAGGCTGAGCCCAGCCAACCTACTGAGGAAGCTCAGTTCAGTCGCTTGTACCCGCAATCTTTTTTTCGGTCACTACCCAGCTCTGCTCAGTCTGGTACAGCGCCTGCATCACTGCTGATGCTACACCACGCTGTGGATCCACCTCACACTCCATTCTACCCTCATTTGTGAACAAGACCCTGAGATACTTGACCTCCTTCTCTTGAGGCAGTAACCCTCTTCCAACCCAGAGGGAACAATCCACCGTTCTCCATCAGAGAACTATGACCTCAGACTTGGAGGTGCTGACTCTCATCGTGACGGCTTCAAACTGGGCAGCAGACTGCCCCAGGTCATGCTGGAGGATTTTGTTCTGCTCAAAACATTAAAGATCTAATGTTGGCTGAATGAGAGGCATCTAGCGGCGAGGTTGCAGTTTGCATCCAACTGAAACCTCTCTTGTGTGAAAACGCAAATAGCCCTATCCAGAGCCAGTGTAGAAACAATGTTATAAAAACACAACGGTTGATTATACACTGAATAAAACATAGTTATGAATGTTATACTCTATTTCTGCCAATATATCCCTCTAAAGCATCAAATCAACGCCATAACCTACACTGTGCACCTCCCCAGAAATGTAACTCCACAGTGTCACAGTGACACAGACCTCCTGTCTGTTTCTGTAAGCTGAAACCATTTCCCTCAGTGGAAACAAAGCTTTGATTTACTTTGATTTCACAGATAAGAAACAATAAATCATGAAGACAATAAAGCCTCCACACACTGTGTGTGATTTATCCTGGCTGAAATATGAGCAGAGGAAATCTCTGCTAGCTGCTAGGCTAATTTATACAATGTAAAATGCCATAGGCTTGTGCTAATAACATTAGCATGTTGTTTTTGTGGGGAAAATGTGTCCAGATAAAGACAGGTCTCGATTAAGCCATGTTTAATGTGTGTTTAATATGTGTTTAACGTGTGTTTAACGTGTGTTTAATGTGTTTAATATGTGTTTAACGTGTGTTTAATGTGTTTAATGTGTTTAATATGTGTTTAATGTGTTTGTGTGTTTGTTTAATGTGTTTATGTGTTTAATATGTGTTTAATGTGTTTGTGTGTTTAATGTGTGTTTAATGTGTGTTTAACGTGTGTTTAATGTGTGTTTAATGCATGTTTAACGTGTGTTTAACGTGTGTTCAATGTGTTTTGTGTTTAATGTGTGTTTAATGTATGTTTAATGTGTTTAATGTGTGTTTAATGTGTTTAATGTGTGTTTACTGTGTGTTTAATGTGTTTAATGTGTGTTTAATGTGTTTAATGCGTGTTTACTGTGTGTTTAATGTGTTTAACGTGTGTTTACTGTGTGTTTACTGTGTGTTTAATGTGGGTTTAATGTGTGTTAAATGTGTTTAACGTGTGTTTAATGTGTGTTTAATGTGTTTAATGTGTTTAATGTGTGTTTAGTGTGTGTTTAATGTGTGTTTAATGTGTTTGTGTGTTTAATGTGTTTGTGTGTTTAATGTGTGTTTAATGCGTATAAATAAATAAATCTGCCTTATACACCGGGCCTTTAAAAAGTGATATTTAAAAAATAACCAAACATCCACCTCTATAAATTTTGTTTCAGAAGTTTTGGAGGCTGCTATCTGAAAACATCAGCACATAAAAAATGAAAATGATCTTTTTTTTGTCATTTCAAAATGATCAACACGTTCTAATAAATGAGTGCGCTGTTCACCGTGTTGACATGACGTCAGATAGATTGAAAAAATCACAGCTTGACGAGTCATTTCGCTGCGTTTCTCCTCCCGAAAAATCTGTAATTTCTGACTTTCCAGTGCCTCTGAAAGCAGCGTTAGACAGAGAGCATGTAGAGCAAGTTGAGACGGAATAAATCTGCATTGTGTGTGTGTGTGTGTGTGTCAAAATTTGTGATATGATTAATATTAATGTTGATGTAATTATTTTACTGCCTAGAGTGCCTGGCTGGAAATGAATTTTTTAAATTCCAGCCACATCTTTAGACAATGCGTGCAGGCCCACGGCTCAGAACTGAAGCTCAGCATATTGACACATTTGTCTCCTTTTCTTTCTTCCTTTTTTTTATTCGATGTGGAGCTTCCCGTCGCAGGATCAAGTCTCTGTCCTGGCCGAGATGGCGCAGAACAAGAAGGTGTAAGCACATTTTTGATTTTACATGTCAATTAATACCCCCTGAGGGACGGGAGATTTAAATTAGCCTCGGCTACACACACGTGCGGTGCTACTGTTGCTGTAATTGACATGTCATCACTGTTATCTGTGCTTTCATTTCATAAAATGACCCAATCAGGCGGTTCCTGTGGGTAAAACACAATCAAATGAAGAACATACAGAACACAGAGAGGCTATACCAGGCCGGAAGAATGACATCAGTCTTTAATAAGTTTCTATCAATCAAAAAGGGTTTCTCCGCTCCTCTGTATTATTTGTGCTGGTGTCTGCAGTCGCTATAGTTACATATCAGGTCGCGTTTTCCAGGAAACAGGAAACTTCTACAAACCGAAAATTGCCTGAGCAAGATAATCCATCACAGCGAACATGGAGACTTAATTTGGTTTTGTCAGAGTTTCTTGTTTTGCTGTTATTTCATTGCACTCGAGTTGAGTGTTTTCATATCAGTGCTCACATCACATTATGTTCTGCTTACGGTCAATCTCCTGACACACACACACACACACACACACACACACACACACACACACACACACACGCGCGCGCACACACACACACAGACGGGAAGAAATGCTCAGCCTGGAAATAATCCCTTAAAAAGAATTACATACAGCACGTGAGATGACTGAGGGAGAGCTACATGGCAGCAGAGGAAGCGTCGACTTTTCTCCATTAAATGACCCCAGCGTGGTCTTTAATATGTATTCTGACCACCCACCTGGCCTTTGTGCTGCGTTACAGATAACTGGCTGCTGTAGATGTATGTAAATGAATCGCAGCCAGGTAGCAGAATAGCTGTGTGTGCACACTGACATGTTAAATTACCCGGCAGATATAAAAGACGGCATTTTTAGGCTACGGGAGCCTCCTGAGAGAAAGTGGAGACAGAAATATTTAAAGAGAATTGATGCATTTTTTATCTGGTAAAACCATGAAAGTGTGTGTGTGTGTGTGTGTGTGTGTGTGTCTGCACCTGTCAGTGATAAAGGATGACTCAGTACATTTACTAAAGTAGAAGTTTAAGCTTCTTGTTCTCGGTTATTTCAAGTTCATGTTACTTCGTACTCCACTAGATCACAACTGAGATAACCCCTACAAACAGGTTATTCATGGACATGTAATCACACTACATGAAACTGCCCCAGCTGATTACTCTAATGTCGGGATGAATACACTGATTAAGCGGTGTAAAGGAAGCGAGTAGCGAGATACGCTTTTTCACGAGAGTTGAAAAGTCTGAACTTTAGCAACCGATTCGCACCACGACAGCCAATCAGCGTTGAGGTCATCGGGGGACGTATTTTGGACTTTTTCTTTCCACTAGCCTGAAAGGATTTTATGGAGGCAAAATAGTACAGAAGCTCAAAATTGATGAGTGCATTAAATTACTATGTTTTGACCCGGGGCACCTTTCCTTAAAGAATCAAAATCAAAACTTATCTAACAGAGTTATGTCGGAGAGAGTTGCTGCGTAAAGTATCTCGGGATCTTGTTCACGATTGAGAGGAAAATGGAGCGTGAGATGGATCGGCAGTTTGGGCCGGACAGTCGAGGTGAACAAAGACATGAGCTGGAAGCCAAGGGTCTCGATTTATTGGTCTATCTACATGAAAATGGACGGATGAATTGAATTGTCAGGTACATCAATCCAATAATATACTTTCTAAAAAACAAAAGACTAAAAGAGGCGTTTACTTTTAAAAAAAATACCCTCATTTGCTTTCCTTGCTGTTTCTGTTGGATAAGATTTATGACACTGTTATGTAAAGATGAAGCTAGCTTAGCTTAGCTTAGCTTAGCATTAAGACTGGAAACAGGGTAAACAGCTAGCATGGCTCTGTTGTGAGGAAACTAAATCTGCCTACCTGCACCTCAAACGTACTTTACATTCACGTTCACGTTTGTACCTGTGCTCGTGCCTGATCTATAAAGGAGCTGCATTCCTCCAGATATGAAGTGATGTCGGTGTCTGGGAGGTCCAGGATCTGCAGAGTCTTATAAACCAGCTGATCTGGGAGCAGGTTATTGACTCCATAGGCCACATTTAGCACATGGGACACCTGTCAGGGAGAAAGAGACATGACACTCTTTGAGCAAATGACCCCTGAGCATTGACTTGTTTTTAGAAGCTGCTTTCGCAGGAGAGCAAAGAGAGATATTCTGTCAGCCGTATTGATGACGTGACACAACCTGAATGTGACTGAGAGAGAGGGCAGAAAGACAGAGCAAGAAGAGGGTTGACGAAGAACGATGAGGAGGAGAGAAGGAGAAAAAGAGGGGGGTGGGGTGGACGGGAAAGAAGACAGATGGCTCAATTCATTTTGCAGTATCTGTCTACTCACTTAAATTTAGCTTACCTCTGAGGGCTAAAATCTCTCCTCCTCTACATCTGCTTTTGGACTGCTGCTAATATCCACCTTCCTTTCCCACAAGTTTAAAAAGAAATCTGGTGATGTGCTATGTTTTTATAATTGTCCACAAATCCCAGCAAAAGACCCAAAGCAGTGATTAATGTATCTGCCAACCGGTCACTTTATCTATATATTCTTTACTCACTGTTAAACTGTTTAAATCATAATGCATATATATTTACACATTTCACATTTATCCATCTGTAATTCTGTCTACACAAATGTATATTACTTTATTTATGTTTATTTTAGCCCTATATTTTACCTTGCGCTATTGCATGTTTTAGACTATTTTACTTAAATATTTAATGAGCATTGTTGGAGGGAGCCTGAGGGTCTAAGATGTTCATTGCCTATGACTGCTTTTCTGTAACTCCTGCACATATGGTGAGAATGAAGAACTTGAAAAGCCACAAGAAATAGCAATGGGTCACTAAAAAACACCAACGGTTGGTGGCTAAAAAGCTGCGAGGAAAAACAGTGATGGATGCCTCACAAAGGCACCGGATGAACAGCCACATGTCGCTAAAGAACACCCATGTTTGGGACTAAAAAGCCGCTGGAAAAACCATGATGGATCCCTCAAAAAGTTTCTGAAAAAACAGCCACTGGTCGCTAAAGAACACCCATGTTTGGGGGCTAAAAATCAGCTGGAAAAACAGTGATGGTCACTAAAAAATATGCATGCTTTGGAGTTAAAAAGCTGTAGGTAAAACAGCCACTAGTTGCTAAAAAAACACATTTGGGGGCTAAAAAGCCACTGGAAAGACAGCCATGGATTCATCAAAAAGCCACTGGAAACGAAGCCACGAGTCGCTAAAAAACACCATGTTTGGTGGCTAAAAAGCTGCGAGGAAAAACAGTGATGGATGCCTCACAAAGGCACCGGATGAACAGCCACATGACGCTAAAGAACACCATGTTTGGGAGCTAAAAAGCTGCTGAAAGAAACAGTGATGGATTCCTCAAAAAAAAAAAAAAATGCTGGAAAAACAGCAACTGGTAGCTAAAAAACACCCATGTTTGGGACTAAAAACCCGCTGGAAATATCATGATGGATCCCTCAAAAAGCTTCTGGAAAAACAGTCACTGGTCGCTAAAAAACACCAATGTTTGGTGGCAAAAAAGCCGCAAGAAACACAGGGACAGATCCCCAAAACACACTCACATTTGGGGGCTGAAAGCTGTAAAGTGTGATGGATCCCTCAAAAAAGCTTCTGGAAAAACAGCCTTGAGTCGCTAAAAAAACCCACCCATGTTTGGGACTAAAAAGCTGTCGAAAAACAGCAATGATCACTTAAAAATACCCACATTTTAGGGCTAAAAAGCCGCAGAAACCTGCTGGAAAATTAGCCACGGGTCACTAAAAAATACCAAGGTTTGGTGGCAAAAAAAGCCGCAAGAAACACGGGGACAGATCCTCAAAACACATTCACATTTGGGGGCTAAAAGCTGCTGGAAAGACAGTGATGGATCCCTCAAAAAGCTGCTGGAAAATAAGCCACTAGTAGCTAAAGAACACCCATGTTTGGGATTAATACGCTGCTTGAAAGTAACTGGTTGTTGCATTAGGTAACATGTTCCTTTTCCCACATACACCGTCCTGCTGCCACACATACTCACTAAAGCATGCAACTTGGATTAATCCGCCACTGAAAATAGTCCCCACCAAATAAACTTTTTACCAATGCTTGTGTAACTTTTGTGAAAACCACAGTGCTTACCTGTCCTGTTATAAATGCACAAATAAAATTAAATATTTGTGCTCCGTTTTTAAACATGTACGTTTCCAGCAGGAACCAGCGAACTCAGGGCTGAGAGCCTCACACAGGGTGCGAAGTTGACAGTCGTTGACACTAAAAATAAAGCAAGCCGGCAGCCTTTTCCTTTTCCTTTTCCACTATCAACACAGGATGGTAAAGAGCGGATTTCGTCACTAACTTAGTGTTTTAAACTTATATCCTGGTGACTATCAGACTTTTGGACAACACTGGTTACGTGATTATTTAATCATTTATATTATTAGTAGTTTGACAGAGACGATGCTCTTTGATCATCAACAACAATAAACAAAATAATTAATTCAAAAAAACTGTATTTCCATCAGTTTTTCATCATCATCCCTGGTCAGGTGTTAAAATAGAATAAAATGGCATATCTAAAAGAAACCTAATAAATACTAAGGTGTATACAAACATTAGGTTTGGGACAAGCTGGACGTGCCAGCTGGAAAAGAACACGTTCACCATGTTCCTGATCGCTCTCTGCCATGTTCGCAGGTGCGTCCTCAAATCGAGTTATGTAGTAATTAGTCAGCGAAGCAAAAAATATATAATGATTGATGATGTAATTTTTTGGTCCACCTGCTGAAATCTAAGTCTGAATTTGGTAATGCAGATGGCGGGTTTTTTTTGTTGTTGTTGTTGTTGTTGCTCTTTTTAATCCATTACTAAACGTTTGATTAAAGACGTTAAAACCAGCTGAGCAGCAAATGCAGCAAAGTTTAAGCAGCCAGAAACCAAACCGGGCTCTGTTGAGGTAAGAGACGGACTCTGTGGATGTGCAGGAGTCAAAGACAAACTGCATTATATCACTGAAACAGGGAGATAATTATAAAGGTTTCTGGAAATCAGAACCAAAAGGAGACTCAAACTGGATTCTGCAGTGCGTCTTAATGTATTCATTTTATGTCTTCAGCTGATTCACAGTGTTCTTGTTACTGAGATACCTGTGAATGTTTATTAAATGTTGCACTGATAAGAACAGATCCCTTTATACATTGTCCTCTGAGTGGAGTCTGAGCTTTATTAGCTATCTGTGGGAAACCCTGGTTGGTTTGGTTATTAAGCAGTCAAGGTTTCATCCCAGAAACAGGAAGTGAAGGTATTTGTAATCTCTCCAATTCATCATCCTGAGACTGCACAGGCAGCAATATGCTCACGCCCGCGAGCAGCCACTGCAGAGAGGAGTAGTCACATTTCTGTGATGTGGAGAAGCAGCGCTGAGACCTACTGTAATCATTTACTCCCTCTACTGAGCTAAACTGTCACTGCATGAGTCATGAAGCTCCTCCGGCTGTTGGCTGCGTGTTCGCCGACCCGCAGGACACAACACACCTCCACGGCTGCCTCTAATCTCATGTCACTGCACACGCGATCGCAGCACAGCGAGGGCATGCCCGCTCTATTGATCCCTGTGTACTGACCTTATGTCTCTGCAGGGTGTCAATGTCGTGGGCCGCATCCTGAGAGGCTGAAAAGGCAGAAACAAGTTGGTGAGAAGACGGACCGCAGGGCATGCCTCTGCTTACCAGAACTTATCTATTGAAAACAAAAATGCTTCCTGCAGGCTGACAATAATTACTCAGTTATAAAATGAACAAATGCTGCTTCCCCCCCTTCTTCACATGAATATTTAGCATCTCCCTCATTTATTTTTACACGAGAGAGACAAAATGCAGCACTTAATTCAGCTGTGCAGTGCTATCAGTGTTAATGATGGAAGTTGTGTTTGTCTTTTAAGTCTTTATCAAACAAAAGTGCTGAAAATTCACCAGCTCGAGCTTCTTAATGTGAAGATTTGCTGTTTCTTTGTTGTTTAGTTTCTTTTTAAGTTGAATATCTTTGTGTTGGTTGAACAAAGACAAGCGATATGAAGCCAGGGTTTCAACCCTTTCTCATTCTGAAGTCGTCGTTACGTTAGTCGACCAGAAAGGTCATTAGTCGGCAAGATTTCATTGGTTGCTTAGTCACAGAATAACACAAACAAACAAACATGAAACTCTATCAGGAGCTGCTCCTTGTCAAAATAAATCCAAACCTATATGATTGGAGCATGTGTGACTTTACTTTGAAGGGAGAGACACAGGAAGTGTCCTCGTCAGGTTAATAACCAGGGCTGGTACCTGCGGTTATTCCACAGGCTAGTTAATAACATGTCGGGCAGGAAATCCAAAGTGTGGGATCATTTTGAGAAGGTGAAGGACGAACCCAAGGTGATATGTAAACTCATCTTCATTGGTCGACTACAAACATGACGTATCATGTGAAACATGGAAGTAGCTACATGCCCATTAGCCCACAGCGTCATTAACTACATCATATGTAGACATGACAGTCCACTGACCAAGCGGCGATATGTGACGAGTTGGGAGTGAGAATGTGTTGCCTCAGGATTTGGAAGGAATCTCTATTTACTGACATTTTTATCACAGAAACAATCAGAAATTCTTTCTTCACGCCACCTTATTCCTGATCATATAAACCAGGGAACAAGCAGTGTTTTACAAAAAGAGCAATCAGATGTCACACAGATGGAAAAAACAGTCACGTCAGTGGTGTAAACTTGAGCAGCAGAAAGCAAATGCTGCAGGATATCAGCACCTATATCACTTAGCAGGAAATCATTCAGACAGCAAACCCTTTCTGAACAGCTGCAGCACGGAGGAGGGAAGAAATCAGTCAGCAGAAACCAACAGTAAAATGGCTTACAGCCACAGAAATAAAAAGGAATCAGATGATTTGTACGGCAGCACAAGGCCAGGCTCAAAAAACTGCTGAAATAAACATCCAGCATTATCTACAGCTGCAGAAAAACAAGTTTATGATTTTCATGAAAAGAACGAGCAAAGGCGTTTTCAGACCCCTGAGCAACAGTTTTGAACAGTTTGAATGACGAACGCAGCAGAGGAAGCAGGTCAAAGACTAATGGAGGGAATAAAATGAGAAAGGCGGTACAGCAGGCCAACCTGAGTGACGGAGAAAAAAGCAGATAATCACTGAAGGAGACAGTTAAAACAGAACGAGCGACATCTCTTCCAATTTGTCAAATAGCTGTTCATGAAAAGCAGGAGTCGGATAATTATGTGAAAGACACATATGGGCAGGAAACAGAACACGATGGCAGGACTTCCTCCAGATTTCCAGAGTGGATACTCTGCAGCAGCTCGCTGCCTTCAAAGTAGCAATATCTGCACTCTTTGCAGTCGCCAAGCCACTTTTACATGATGCCAGATTCATGGTGTTGGGAGAAGTAAATCTAAATCCAAAGGAAAGAGAGTCTCTGGAAACGAGCCAGCTCCAGCCCATATGCTTCATCAGTGTAGAAGGAAAAGCTTTAAACTGACACATCTGTGAGGAGGTGCAGGGATGCCAGGAATTTTACAGCATTTCTAAATACAGGAGTGACATGGGACCAGATTCAATCTGCTTAACACCAGAGGACAGATCTCAGTCATCTTTATTCTGCCGAGTCGCAAATGCTATTAAAAGTTTTTTATTTAGAAATGAAACTATTTTAACAGAATGTTTGCTGAACCTACGGCTCTTCCTCATACTTCTGATTAAGGACAAAAAGTCGCCATCTTAAATATCCATAGTGCCTGAGCCAGTCAATTTGTTGGTTGGCACCAGGAGGAACCCAGGGCCCACTGCACCAGGAGGAACCCAGGGCCCTCTGCACCAGGAGGAACCCAGGGCCCTCTGCACCAGGAGGAACCCAGGGCCCACTGCACCAGGAGGAACCCAGGGCCCTCTGCACCAGGAGGAACCCAGGGCCC